ACATGTCGGGGGGGGGGGGGGGGGCGCCTCCGCCTGCACTCCTCCGCGCGATCGCGAGCGCCAGCAGTGCGGCTAGTGCCCTTGGAGACGCGGTCGCGGCCGTGCACCGCCCAGTCGAAGTCGCCGCCGATGGCGCGTGGAAACACCCTGAGCCCCCGATCGAGCTTCGCAAGTCAACCTGCCGACGGCGGGCCGACGCGCGGCGCGCGGCATCCGCGCCCAGCGCCTCCGCCGGGCGCAGCTGCGGCGCGCGATCTGCGCGGAGGCGCCCCGCGACGAATTCCAGCGATCCGCGGGGGCCCCTCGCGCGAGGCCGAACGGCCCTACCGGAAGCGGAAGATATGACAGACCCATCAAAATTGCAGGACTTGTCGAGAGACCCCTGCCCGACCACAATGCCGACCCCCGCGGGCTGCGGCGCGCCGCGGGGCCACCGACCGCGACGGCCCGACGGAGATAGAGCTACTGGGAGCGACTCCTCCGCGCCATGCGCCTCCGCGATCGCGATCATATCGCGTCGGGGGGCGAGCTGGCAGGCAGGCCGGCCCGCTCGCGGACGCGAAATGCGACGCCCGCCGCGAAGGCTTGCGCTTTACCGGCGGCAAACGAGATGGCCCCCGCACGCGGGCCCCGCATCGAAATGGCCGAAGCGGGAACCACGGCTCTCACGGGGCCCTCAGACGCCAAATTCGCTGTAGCAGCCGGCGCCGTGCATGGCCCGAGGCCGAAGGCGCGACGGAGCCGAGCATTCTGCAACTGATGATATTGGAACATCAGTCTGGGCCCGCCGAGGAAGCGCGCGCCCCCGAGCAGGATGTCCAAGAAGAAATGGCGGATGACAAGGTGGATGATCTCGCGAGACATCCCGGGCGGCGGCGGCAGCGGCAAATTGCGAAATGGCCTCCGCGCCGACGTCGGCCGCGCAGGTCGCGCCAGTCGGCGCGGGCAGGAGCCGCAAGACGACATCGACGAGGACGGACACGCAACCCGAGCGCGACACCGCCCAGGAGGCAACTGGCGGGGAGCCGAGAGCCGCATCGCAGGGAGGGGGGGCAACCAGCGCGCCACCCCCCCACAACGTCTCCCGAGCTTGCGAGCAGACTCTGCGCATCAGCCAAGTCACTGGAGACCTGTATCCCCACGAGGTCCCACCAATCCGAATCGGCTTGCCGTGCAATGCCTTCCGGCCTCCCGGACCTTCTGGACGCCGGCCGCGCCCTTCAGGTATAGGCGGGCCCGTCCTGGGGGGGCCTCGGGGCCCGTCTTGGCCGGCCAGTGCCGCGATCCGGTCTGCGTGATCTCAGCGGGGGCCTCGGTGAGCTGAATGCCCGCCGCGCTAGAGAGGCGGGCCGCCAGCTGCTGGAAAACCTCGGCCTCGTCGATGCTGCGCAACCCTGGATATCGACATCTGCCACGCCTTCGAGGGCGGCCTATCTGGACCGCGGGCCGCGTCGACGGCGCAGGGCAGCAAGTTGTTAAGGCATGGCGGATGGGACGACGAATTGCCGTCCTCCGTGACGCGACGGACTGCATTGGAGCTTCAGCACGGCCGTCTCAGGGTCCTTCTGTAACGTTCTGTCCATCAAGGAGTGCCAGACGTCCGCCTCTGCCTCGGATTGGATGAGCGCCTTCCCAAAATGGAAGATGAGACCGCTGCACAACTGCCAGGCCTTGCAACCAGCGCCCGGGCGCGCGAGCTCGGCGAGGATGGCCGCCGGACCCAGAACATCAGATGTGAGCCGTAAAACGAGTCGGGGGGAAGCGCCGCGCTGCGGAGCCGACGAACGCGGAGCTCCTGTTCCAAAGCCGGGGTGGCCCGGTCGAATCGGAAGTCCACGGAGATGCGCAGGACCTCGGCAGCGTGGCCTGGGCTGCGGCTGGCTCGGCCCATCGTCGCACACCGCATGCCAGGATCTGGCATGAAACTGTACACCAAGGGGAGTGCCAGGGCAGTGATGTCCACAACGTGCGTGGGCGTGTCCTCGAGAGAGCAGAAGGGCTCTTCCACCGCCAGCTTGGCGGGGGGGCCCTTCGGGAGATACGTGGAGATTGTGAAAAGCGCGAGGCGCTTGAATTCTTGCCGCGGCCCCACAGGGCCAGGAGACACGAATCCCACCAGCCCTCTGGGCGTAGGTGGTCTAGAACAGATCCTCTTCCACCCCTCCCTCTTCCCCCTTGGGGAGGGGTTTACCCCTCCCCCTACCCCCTCCCCTGGACCTGGACGGGGGGGGCCGCGGGTAGTTAGAGCGTCCGGAAGCGAAAAGGCGAGAAAGCAAAAATCATTGATTTTCCTTAGGTTTTGGGACGATTTTGGCCTCTTCGGGGCTTCCGAGGGGGGGCGCTAATTGAACCCCCCCTCTTGTTTGATCGATCTCCTCCAAGATGGCCCCAAGAAGCGCCCAGGAAGCCCCAAGAGGTCCCAAGATGGCCCCAAAATGGCCCCAAGAGGCCCCCAAGAGGCCCCCCGGAGGCCCCCAAGAGACCCCCAAGAGGCCCCAAGAGCCCCCCCAGATGCACCCAAGATGCTCCAAGAGGCCTCGGCGAGAATGCCTAATCATTGATTCTACACAGGTTTTAGCCACATGGAGGCCTCTTGGGGGGGGGCACGGATTAAGATGACTCCAAGAGCGTCTGGGAGAGCCCAAAATGACCTCCAAGATGGCTCAAGATATCCCAAGATGTCTCATAATGGCTTCCTCTGTGTGCTGCCCACTTCTCTGATCGAGGCAATTCCTCTGGGCATCGTTTCTGGATGGGCTGGTGGGGATTCGCGAAGCGACAACAATTCCATTGGGTGCGACACGAATTCCACCTGCCAGAAGACGGCTGCCCACTTTTCTCCCAAAATGGGATGCCATCGGAGATCCCGGATGGCGTCGACCGAGTGGCACCGAGGAAAACTCTCCAGCGGAGTGATCATACGGATGTACTGCGGGAGTGAACCACCATTGGAACGTTTCAGCATGTGTTCGCGGGGGCAACCCAGCGCGGAGGAGTCGGTGGGGGCCCAGATGACGACGGGCACATTCTGTAGCAGATCCAAGAAAGTGTCGCCCCCCTTCTCGGCCGATTCGGCAACACGCCGAGCTCCATCGAGGAGGAGAGAACGATCATCGGCTTGCTCCCGGAAGCGTGGGGGGGCCTGCGCCGAGCAGAACGGACCATTGCGTCGCGACGCGTTCCTGTGGCGACAGGGCCGCGTCGAGCACCGCGCAGAGGGCTCGTGGCTCAAGCTCCTTCCAGAGAGTGAGCCTGCTTGGTTTCAGCTTCCGTCGCTCCCTGCGCCAGCCGGCGAGGGAGTTGGCGCAGTTCTGGACGGCCAGCTCGAGCTTCTCCAGGATGGGGGGGGACCATGAGAGACCAGCGCGGGCCCTCAGCAGCAGACGATAGCAGCCGGGCAGCGCGGACTCGCGACTCGAGCATGCCGAGCGTCGGCTCAGGCCCTTCCAGCGAACTGAGCCCTAAAACCTGCCAGCAGTCAGACGAGGTCGGGTTGTAGGAGGGCCCCCGCAATACCGCCATAAGGTCGTCGAAGGTCGCCAGCGTGGATGCGGCCGAAAGTGGCGGGCTCTGCCCTGTCGCCTGAGCGGCGCGAGCGATCTCGAAATAACACAGAATCTCCTGCTCCAAAAGATCACTGAGGAGCTCTTGCGGCAACGGCTGGGGTACCGAGAGCGCCTGGGGCACTGCAGCGACTCCTGGAACTGCAGCGGGCTCGGCGGCAGATGCGGCGGCCGTGACAGGGTAGAAAGCTGCCTGGAGACCCGGGGCCGTCGCAGGCGCAGCCGGGGGAGGCAGCCCAGGGGCAGGCAGCCCGTTCGTCGGGTCGACCACCGTAAGTCTGACAATAACCTGCGTCAGCCCAGACTCGCACTCCTCCATGCTCGTGTCAGGACCTGCGGCGGGCGGGGGCCGCACGAGCAGCTGCGCCCGGGGTCGCTCCGAGAGGCTGACGCGCCGTCATGGCGGCCGAAATGGGTCGGGCCCGAAATCGCTCGAATCGGTAGAAATGACGCTCGGGCCCGGGCTCGGATCGGGCGTTCGGCGACGGCGCCTTGAGCCAGAGAGGCTCGAGCCCAAGCTACGTTTGACGTATACATGTTTTTTGTTGTCTGGGGCCTGCCTGATCGGTCCGGGGTCCATGTGGGCGCTAGCGTGCCCTCCCAGGCCCTTCCAGGGCCTTCCGACGTTGCCCATGTCTTTCCTCTGTCTTTTCATTTCCCTCCTCGCCCGGTGCCCCGCGCGCCCGTCCGCCGCTAGTTATACTGGATCAGGCCTAGAGTCGCATCGGCTTGAATCGCGCCCTACTCCCCCAACAGGCGGCCGCAGCCGCACGATAAGTCCCTTCGGGACCAGGCCTACCAGAGGCCAGTCCAGAATATTCCAGAGAGCACAACGTTGCTAGTGCGTCCATGGCAGCTATCCGAGCTATCCCCCTAGGGTCGCCCCCGAAAGGAACAGTTTTCGGGTAATGACTCGAGTCTCTGGCAGCCGCTCGGGACGATCGGGGCACTCCTGGAACGCCCTCGGCGAGGCGCGGCTGCTGGAGAAATCACCCCAAGGCTGGAAAACTGCCGAGAACCCACGAGAACGCTCGACAACCCCGCCCCCCCCCCTCGCGCCGCCCCAAAATGCGCGACGATCAAAAACGGGTCTTGCGCGAGATGGCACGGCGACCTCACGCCGCAGCTTGCGCGGGCCGCCCGCGCGGCTGCTACATTGGGAACGAGGGCGCTCACGCGCGATTTGTTTGACGCCTGGAAATGGGCACCAACTCCAGCACAGGGGTTTGCCTCCACAGGGGGGGAGATGATCCTAGATTTCGGCGTTGGTGGTATTTTTTCGGCGACCCTGGAAGCCAGAGTATTACCATCGCCGAGATCGGGATCTTCTTCCATCGATGGAAGCACACCGCGTATATTGGTGTTGGTGTCAACCTCTTGGCTTGCGAATCTTACGCGGGCGCTTCACGTGCCGCTCACTTCGCCCCCGCGGAGAGCCGCCGCAACGCCCGCGGACAGGCGGGCGCCGCGTCCAGGTGCGGCACCAACCGTGCCCCGCAGCCCTGGGACACGCCCGCGGCGCGGAGCCCGGCGCTGGCGGCGGAGAAGCGCAGCGCCGCGACGGTGGGGAGCAGCTGGAGAATCTGGGGCACGACGGCCTGGGGCGGGCTCCAAGGGGCGAGCGGGGGGCGAGCGAGGGGCGAGCGAGGAGAAAGGGGAAGGAGAAAAGCGCGCAGGAGCGAGGAGGAGGGAGGAGGAGCGAGGAGGAGCGAGGAAGAGGATCGAGGATCGACTGCCGAGTCCTTCTGGACGCCTCGGCCCTCCGCGAGGCCTCCGGGTGAACTGGGGGCACGGCCGCCTGGGCAGCGGCGAGGTCGCCCTTCGAAGGATGAAAGGGGGACGCCAACTATATCCACACCATCCATTCATGGCCAGACCGATTCTGGGCCGACCATCAGTGCACATACGCCTTCCTGGCTTGTCCAGGAAGACATACCAGAGGGGCCAGGGGGAGAAGAAGAAAGAATAGGAGTAGGTGGAAAAGGGGGACGAGGAGGAGGAGGAGGAGGAGGAGGAGGAGGAGGAGGGCAGGAAGAGGAGAAACAGGAGGATTGACAGACTGACTGACTGGCTGACTGGCTGATCCCGCATCGATGCCGAGTGTTTGTCCGTGATACTCTCTTTCACCGCAAAGCCTGGTGAGGAAAAACGCAGATCCTTCGAGATAAGGAGACACCAGGGGGCCTCGTTGCACAAACGCTGGGCCGCCGTCGGTCCTACTAAAGTGTCGACGTGATACAACAGGGCCGACTGGGCACGGGGGCCCCTGGGCCCCGTTGCAAAGTTATCAATCGAAGGGCTGCTAATCTCTGCTCGCACGAGGTTTCTGAATAAGGAGGGCAGGAGGCGGAGGACGGAGGCTCGAAGGAGAACGGAGAGGATGGGTTCCCTGCTAAACCTGCCGCGCTGCCTAGTGCTGCTGCTCTGGGCGCCGTGCTGCTCATCTACTTGCCTCGGAACGCATGGGCGAGCCCTCCCACTGGAGCCTTGCCTGGCATATGCGTCATGCCCGCCGCCCGCATGGAGAGAACCAAGAGCCTGGCCACCGTCACTCGGATGTACTTCGCACTGCAGTCCAGCTCGAGCGGGCGCGCCCTATGGGTGTCCAAGTCGCCCTCCCCGACCATGCCCCTGCCCACTGGCCACTGGCCCTCGACCGCAAAGTTGATCATGCACATCGGCTGCGCCCCCGTCTTCACATGGTAGTCGCTGACACGGCACGAGTGGCAGAAGTCCTCCATCTCCGACGGATTGCCGTCCTCTGCCGCTGCCTTGTGCAACCTGGCGATGGCCCTGGACAGCGCGCGAAACTCCTCGGGTTTGCATTCCACGGTGGCGTCATCGAGGGACTCTTACACACTGGCGAACGCGCGCAGGCGTGGACTGCCAAGCTGGCGTCCGCTGCCTTGTTCTTATACTTCCTACTACCTCGTCGTAGAGAGCGGTGGTTTTTTCTCTTGCTCATAACCACAGGGAGGCCCGCGAATCGAGCACTTCCTCCTCTTCGGCCGCAAACTGCGCTCGCGCATCAGCCCAACGGTTTGGTCCACGCGCGCGCCGAGGGGAGAACTTCGCCGTCGCTCGGGATCTCCAAGTTGGCTGACTCACACTGCGCCTGTCCAGCTAGAGCTGCCATGACCCGACAATGATCAAGCCGTTTCGCAACAGTGTCTCGCAGCCACTTCTGACGTCGAATCCTGAGCTCGACACAGGGGCTGCCAGTCTCCATGTGACGCAAGACTTCTACATGGCCAGGTGCTCACACTTTGTTGCGCGTGGAAAGCCAGAGCCATACTTCAGTCGTGCTTGCGTGCGTGTATGCGGTCGCTGCGTTTCTGCGCGCGTGTGTTTGCGTTGATGTTCCGTCCGGCATGCATTTGCGCTGCGTTTCTGTTGCGTCGTGTTTCGTTGTGCGCCTGCGCGCGCTTGCGATTTGTTGCCTTCTTGCGCGCGCGTTTCCGCGCGCGCCGCAGCGGCCCGGGCAGTCGCGCAGGGGGGGGAGGCGAAGAGAGGAGGAGGCGAGGTCGGATACCACAGCCTCGAGGACCACATCCGGGGCCAACCGAGTGACGGACGACGGGGACAGCCAGCGGCCAAGGATAGAAAAGGGATGCGAAGGATGAGAGCGGGCGGGGGGGGGGGCGCGAGCGGCGCACCGAGGAGCAGAGGCGGAGAGAAGCGCCGACTTTGAACGCGCAAATTCTGCGCCCTCGACGCGCCGCATGTTCACCGCGTAGCACCGCGCGAGCCCACTTGAATACCAGCGGTTGCACAGAGGCGCCATGGGCGCATAGCGATCGGCCTCGCCACGCCGGGGACATGCGACTCTGGCCTCGAGGGGGCCGCGCCAACTGCCACCCCGCGAACGCGCCCCCCTTTAAATCTCATAGCTACTTGCGCAGGTGCCCAGAATGGCCCCATCAAATACCGAGCTTTCTGGATCGCCCGGACTGCGACATGTTTCTCAGCCGGGAACCCGTCGTTGACATGTCGCTGCCCCCCAAGTACCTGGCTGCCGACGCGGCTTCCCCCTCGAGCTCGAGGCGACCAGCGCTGCCCGCGGCACTGCCCCCCAGGACGAGGTCGAGCTGATTTGCTCTTTGCGCCGCCCACCTCCCCCAACCCTGCGCCGAAGACTCTGATCTCCCAGGGCGCCACTCATTGGATTTGGCGCTGATCAGCACCCATGGTTTTTTCGCGACACCGTCGACGAGGGTCGAGGTTGCCAGGTCGGCGGCCTGCGCGTCGGGCACGGCCTGGGCGGCCCCCGGCACCGCTATGCGCAATGCTCTCTGCCGAAGGTCCTGGCCCAGGGTCGAAATCGTTGTCTCGACGCCGCGCCCGGGCGATTTGGCGAACAGCTTCGCGACAGCATGATCACCTGGCAATGCCCCCATCTCGTCCGCCGCGCAAGCAATCCCCTGCCCATCAGAGACGACAAACGCACTGTTGTAGATTCGCTGCAGGAACAGGTCCACATGCCCCCCCTGCGCCAAATCTGCAATAGCTCGTTCCACAACGTCCTTGCGCACACAATAGAATGCATGTCTGGTATCGCGGCACCGCGAAGCACGCGCCACTCCTGCCCTGCGCAGGCGCGCAAATTCACGCCGTTGAGCCGGCGTCGCATCCCTGCGCCGACGATGCGATATCCCTCAACGGGCCCAATACTGGCAACGCTGCCCCATCCGGGTAAGCGCGCGATGGAAAGACCTGCCAAATCCACAGAATAGCATGATAGGACGTTCTCTTGCCGCGCCAATCTTGTCGCCCTGTTAAGCCGGCACGCAGCGAAGCTCGATGCCGCGCAACTGGCGCGCGCCCCACTGCGCGCATACACCTGCAAACCAATTCGACCGTCCTCTCATACTCCGGCGCCTGGATCTCACCATCCTCCTGCCGAAGCCCCAACCCTCCTCCGCGCTGCGGGCTGCAGTGCCCGTTCGGAATGGCCACTGCCCGCGGCACGCCCCCCGGCGCCGACCACCTGGGCCGGGCCCCCCACGATGGGGAATTTTCCAAGCGCTTTCCGCAACATCCACCGTGAACAGAGCGTCCTCGCGAGCGCTGCCATAGCCCCTCAGCTCATCATCCCCATTGACGACTTGTGATCTTCAGCTGGGTTGCGCCCACCGCTGCCTTCCATGGGCGACCTCCAGAATCCGGTCGCGTCTTCTGCCGCTTCCCCTTGCACTTGCAGTCTGGCTCGAGCTCCTCCTTCCACTCCCTGCGATTGGAACTTAGAAATCCATTCTGCCGCCGAGGCACGCGACGTCGGCGCGCTGCACACCCTCCGTGCCCCCCTGCAAGTTCCAGCCAATAACCACGCTAGCTTGTGGGCATCATAGAACCCCCGATCCCCCGTGCGTCCGACTCCTTCAACTCGCTTCCCAGTCATTTGCTTAATGAATTGCTTCTCGTAGCTCTTAAGATATCTGCTCAGCCTGCAGACCTTAAGACCGCATCCCTCTGGGAAGTCACTTTAGTAATCATTCGCTTTCCTCCTGGCCAGAAGTAGCTAGCTCAGTTGTTGATTATGCGCCAGCGTGCCCTCGCGCGTCTCGACATACCCTGGGGCATCCTTCAACTTCTCGGCCGATGCATCTTGAATGATCTGCATAATGCCTGCAGTGAGCAAGTGGACACCCCCTTCACATTCCCATTCCTCTAGAAAGTGTCGCGATGCTGTGCCAATCCCCCTTCAACTTGTTCAGCGCATGTCAACCGACCTGTGCCACGCAACAGAATGGCGTTGCACGCCTCCTGATTGAAATGGGGCATTCGAGGCTGCCGACGATGCTCAAACGCGCGCCACAACGATGTGCACATCGGAAAGTGGTCCTTCGACGCGCTACATCTGATGTGCTGGAGCCGTCTCCCTTCGGTCACTGATACACCGCAGTCTCCAATGTTCTGAACCAACTGACGCGGACAAGCAAGGTAACCGATTCTCTTCACCAATGTCGGGTAAATACCGTAGCACGTAGCTCCAGCATCAACATACGAGCTGGCCAACGCCAAGCCGCGTGCTTGGAGCGTCGGCTTCAATGTGCGAGAATTCGATTATGTTGCGGCTGCGGCGCTCGTGCCCGTCACTGGTGGACGCGAAGCATCAATGCCACATGCTGAATTGAGATCCACCCCAATCAAGGAATGGTAGGCACCGAGCTGGGAGGCCCTTGGGACAGTCCTGCAGCCACTTGGTGACTTCGGTAGAAATGGCCTTCTGCTCTGACACCGCCCCCCTCCCTTTACCACTCGGCGGAAAGTAAGTCGAGAACATTGCCATGTCCTGCCGCCCCCGTTTCTATCTCACCATGAGCGCTTTGCCCCGAAGCCGCTTCGTGCTCTCGCCAACTCTCAAGACGTCGGTTTCGGCAGACCTTTTTTTTTCCTGTGGAGCGCAACTGCCACGCCGCATGTTCGATTGCTCTCTTTGCCAAGACCTGAGTGAATGACGACGCGAATTTTTGTGATATGTCTGGTTGCCTGTCCCCTGCTCCTCACAATGGTGCCGTGGAACATGATGGGCTCGATCGACTTGTGCTCTGCATAAATCTTTTGAACCCGGGAGGGGGCGGAGAATGTGAGAGGATTGCAAATCACTGCACGCAGGCATCGCCAACCGCCGCCGCTCCCCCTCCATGGCCCGCTCATGCTACCATGCTTGGAGAAGCGAAAAGGGGCCTTCGGTAGTGCTGTCCGCAGAAGCTGCCTTGAATCGCTCGATCGTAATGGGCAGCTAAACAGGAGGAGGACAGGAGGAGGAGGAAGAGGAGGAGGAGGAGGAGGAGAAAGATGAAAGATCCAGGATCGAAAATATGTTTGGACATTCTTGGCCATCGTTTGGGCCCCTGGAGGCCTCTGAGGCCCCCGGAAAACTCTGGAGAATTGTGGAGAGCTCTGGACATCGAAGCAGGGGATTCATTCATGTCCACCGATTTGGAAACGGGAGATGCGCCCCCGAAGACCCCGACGGCGTTCACCACGACGACGACGACGACGACGACGACGACGACGACGACGACGACGACGGCAACGACGACGACGATTACGACGACGACGACGACGACGACGGCGACGACGACGACGATGACGAAGACGATGACGAAGACGACGACGACGAACAACGGCGCTCACGACGGCGGCGACGACGACGCCCCCTGCGCGGCCAGCAGGAGCTCGTGGGTGTGCTCCTTGCGGGCCTCGCGGTACGCCTACGGGAAGCCGGCGCCCCCGAGAGCGGAAGCCCGCAGGGGATCGACCGACCGACCGACCGCGGGCGCGCCGACGGGGGCCTCCCGAGTGAGGTCCGGAATGGACGGGGTCGGAGGATCGCGCCGAGAGCGCCGATGCCTCGACGATGCACTGGGGATGCATGCGGCGGCCGCTGTTTTTTTTGTTCCTCCCCCCGCACGTGCGTCCCCGGAGCCCACGTTCAGCGCGGAGCCAGGCGAAGGTGCAGTGCCACCGATCCGCCCGCCGCCACACCCACGCCGCCGTCCCCATGCGGCCACGTCGGCGAGGAGAAAAGAAGCTCCACATCGTGCCGCATCGCCGATGCATCGGCGGTGCGGCGCGATCCTCCGACCCTATCTGCTCTGACCACCGTCTGGCAGCGCTTCGAGAAGAGAAGAGGAGAGGAAGGAACAAGGGGGAGGTGCGCATCGCGGCCGGAGGCACGTGCGCGGACGGGTGGGGGTCAGGGAGCGCCCCGGGAGAAGAGAAGACGGGGCCACAAAGTCCGGGAGATCTCAGGGCCCCCCCACCGACCCCTTGTCCTCAGCCCCCTCTTCGACGCCTGGTGGTATTCAGACCATACCTCGGGCCTCCGACGGCCGCTCGGGACGATTCGAACACCTCCGGGAAAGCTCTCGACGAGGCGCGGCACCCCGAGACTGGAAAACCGAGGAGAACCAACAAGGACTCCCTGACACGCCTGTTGGAAGCCCCCGACTGACACGCCCCATGAGCCAGCAAATACTGGGCGACGGGCGCGCCTCCCAGAGGACCGGACAAATGCGACAACAAACGCACGATTCACTGCACGTGCAGAAGGGGGAGGGTCCTCTTCTCCCTCCTCCTCCTCCCCCTCCTCCTCCTCCTCCTCCTCCTCCTCATTCTCAAGGGGGCAGACAAGAAGGAGACAGGCAGAACAATTCTGAAGACCCCCAAACAGACTGAAGCCGCAACGAGTTTCAAAGGCACGTGCGTCTCTCATCGGGGCATGAAAGCTGATTCGCGGAGAAAGAGGGAGAGGTAAAGGAATCAATGTGAAGGAGAGGGGACGATCGAGAACCAAAGAATCGAAGAATCGAGGAGGAAGGACTGAGGATCAAGCAGGAAGGATCGAGGATCGAGGGAGGAGGCGGAACAAGAAAAGGGATAGAGAGTCGAGGATCGAGGAAGGGGAATCGAGGATGGAGGAGGAGTGAGGAAGAGGAAACTAAAAAGGAGGGGATCGAGGGCTGGCACCTGGAGCTGCTGCACGATGCCGGAGACGGAGAGTTTGAGCGCCTGCTCCTGCGAGCAAAGCGAAGTGTCCTCGTCCTCCTCCTCCTCCTGTTTTTCCTCCTCCTTTTTTTCTTTATGTTTCTTATCATTATGATTCGTCTTCTTATTGATATTACTCATATTATTTGTACTACCCGCTGTAATATTATTACTCGTACTAATCTTCTTATTAGTACTACGATTCATTTTCTTATTCCTATTATTAGTATTATGAATATTAGAATCATTCGTTGTGCGATTCTCATTATTCTTAGTATGCTTAGTAGTACTGCTATGTTTCGCAGTAGTCCCATTATTTGTCGTATTATTACTATGAGTTGTATTAATAATATGAGTCATATCAGTATTAGTATTGTTAGTTTTATCCGTAGTATTAGTACTACAACATTGGGATTACTAACATTACCATTCGTATGGTTGCTGTGTTTGCTCCTCTGCCTCTTCCCCCTCCTCTTCTTACTATCATGTATTTTCCTTTTTCCTCCTCCTCCTCCTCATCATCATCCTTCTCCTCCCCTTCCCCCTCCCCCTCCCCATCCCCCTCCTCCCCATCCGCCTCCTCCTCCTCCCTTTCCCCGGGATAAACCTGCAGAAACATGCATGTTCGGAGGTCTGCACGGATGTGTCGGATCGCCTCTGAAGCCCCCTCCCTGCGGCGCCAGAGACGCGCCACTGGAGAGAACCAGCGCAAAGCCGAAATAATCGCGCGAAGATCCAAACGAGTATGGTTATGCCACTTGTTTCTTTTTCGATCGCCACCCCCCCGTTCGGTCGACATCCTCCTCTTCATCCTAAATCCCCACCCACCCGGTTATCCGTCCAAATCCTCTCATATGTCCCTGGAAGTCGTAGTACGGGAGTAGCGGGGTGTAGAAATCCGTGTAGCTCTCCTCGGTATCATGTTTGTCCATAGTGTCCCTGGTGTCACATCATGCGCGCGTTGCTTCAAGTAATGCGCTTCCGCGCTGTGGGTTCAGCCCTGCAGGTTCAGCTCTGGAATGCAAATGTCATGTTCCGCTATGTGGGTCGTTACGTGGTGGCCGCCGCGCTTCGCCGCCTGCTGTCTTCGCTTAACCCAACAAATTGGTGAGTGAGCGTCGCGTCTGCGATTGCATCTGCATCGGTTCGGTCTGGAGTCTGGAGCACATGCGAGCTGGCAATCGTGGCGCGGGCTACGTACACCGCTATTATTGATGTACGCAGTTGATTCCACAGAATGGTCGAATCGTTCTCGCGGTCCGTCAACGAGTTAAAGCACATGGTTGCTTCTGGCTGCGAGAGGGTCCTAGATGATGCCGCTCGCCCTGTAGCTCCCGCGTTCCTGCTGCCCCGCAGGTTTCGCAGGGTGGTCCTGCCGCAACAGCTGACACCTCCCCGTCGCGCATCTGTTGAACCAGGAGGCGACTGCGACACAGTTGGTCAGGCCCCCGGCCGCGACGCGGTTGGCGACGTCAATGGAGAGGGCGTCAGTCTGCGTTGCCCGAGGTGGCTGGAAGGGGCCCACGCAGTGCTGGAAGTCCCCCTCTTGTTGGTTTGGGCGCGTTTGGGTCCATAGAGCTCCGCTGGCGGCATCATAGCGCGGCCCGCGCGCCTGCCCCTCTCGCGCGTCGGTGCGACGTCCGTCTTGCAAGGCATATGCGCGTGATCAGGCGGTCTGCTGGCCTAGACGTGGCCCACCGTGCGTCGCGCATGGTCTCGCGGCTCTGATGGGTCTGGTCATCACTGAACGCTGGCGCCGCTGTCATCCACGGCGCCGCGCGCGATCGGGGCGCCTGCAGGGGCTCGACAAACCGCGCGCAAGCGTGGCACTGGTGGCTGCGCGTCAGATATGACGTGCCCTGGGCCCACATGGCAGGGCGCACCCCGCTCTGGCGGCGCATGCCAGCGCGGGCGTAGCAGGCGCCTTCCTCGACGAAGGTCGCCCCGCGCTGGTGACACATTAAGGTGAGTCTGGGCGGCGGCGGCGGCGGCGTGCTTGAGATTGGTGGCGCGCTGCAAACGTTCGGGCACGGCTCGAGTTCTCGGCGCCACCCCCCCTGGCGCGATTTGTCTCGGCGTCGTATTTCTGCACCGAGTTACCAATTCTTAACGCGTCTGATTCCCCCCGCACAGCCCGCGCGACTTCCGGGGCTCGGTCGACGAACAAGCCGCTCGCCAGGGTCGGGGCAGTCGCGCAGCCATGTGACATCCCGGGCGATGACACTGCCCAACTGGCCTCGCGGCGGCGGACCTCGCCCAGGTCCTCGGACACGCTGCGAGTCCGCCGCCCGCGCAACAGTAGGCGCGGCAGGAATCGCAGCCTCCTCGCCCGTCTCGAAGTCGGGCGGAATAGCGCGCTGGCCTCGATGATCACCTGCAGGTTGGAGACCCCTTCCGCCATGTGGTTGGTGGCGCGATAATCAATAACTCGCCTGCGCCCCCCCATGTGCACCGCCGAGATCGCGCCGTTGCCGGCCTCGGTTACATTGCCCCATGCGCGGTCGCCGTGTAGAATGTGGATGGGACGAAGGAGCCTCAGCAATGTGCACGTTTGTGCGTTGGGCTGTTTACCTCTTGAACGTTTGCCTGCGGAGTGGGCCTCTGCCAACAGTTGCCTCGTTGGTCCTCTTGACGAGATCTGGGCCCATTGCGGCCGCGGCTGCAGCAATTGCGCCGAGCGCCGTCTGCGAATCGACCCGCCTGGAGGTTTGGTTGGCGTCGGAGCTGGGCGCGCCAGCGACGCCCGCGTTCGCCGCGCGATCCTTGGCGGCCCTGGCGCCTGCCCCGAACAGTAAGATCATGAGTTTGATCTTGTCGGCATCGAGGCGCGCGCCGTGCGATCGGCCCCTGGCCCCCGCTGTCGTCAAGAGCTCAATCGCCGCCGCGGTCGCCTGCAGCGGTGTCGCGGCGGCGCGCGCGGTTTGGTCATCTACGAAGGGGGCGCCTGTTAGGCATTCGACGCCGTGCAAAAATGGGCTGCCGGTCGTTGTCGGGGCCGACGTTGCCGCGAACCCCGTGCCCGGCCACGCCGTCACCAATGGATATAGCGACGCGCGCGGAAGTGACGCCCAAAAAAAAGTCGGGCATCGGCACTCATGGCCTGGTGCCTGTTCGCGGCCGCGCCATCCGGCAGGTCCCTCGAGGTCGCCCATGGACTGAGCGCGCGCCTCGTGGGAGTGCCACGCAATGCCCGCCGTCGGCGACCTTGTCGACGTAAGGGGCGCCGTGCAGGGCGCCCCCGAGAAGCGGTCGCATCGCCCCCAGCAATCCGCGCAGCCCGACAATCCAAAAGGCCATCCTCGCCCGCGGGCAGCTTGCAGGAGGCACTCGAGCACCGCGGCGTAGAGCGCACCCTTGCGATCGACGAACAAGAGCGCCCCGCCGGCGCCGCGACTCCTGATAATGTTCAAGTGAGTCAAAATAGCGTGCGCCACGAGATCTGCGCACCTCCAAGGTCGCGCCCCGCGCCGAATGCCCCGCAGCAGCGCCGCGCGCGCGTGCTTGAGCCTCGTACGCCGGTGCACGTGATGGTTGGCCACCGCGCTGTTCAACAATATCATCCACCCGTCTGCGAGCGGCATGCTTGCGGCACCATTCTCGTCGAACGACGCCTGCAATACCCCCCTGCGGGGCAGGGGTTCGACAGCTGCCATCTGCGACTTGACTGGCGCCGGGCAGTAGAGAGCCGCGACGCTCCCTGACTGGCGGCCCTGCACGCGTCGTCAGCGACGGCGCCGGGCCCCGTTTGCCCGTTCGGCTCGTCGCCGAGGAGGCTGGCGGACAACTCGCCCCTCGTGACCGCGACGCGTTGCCTGATGGCTTCCTCCGCGCGCTAGATGAAATCATTGGCGACGCCCTCGGGCCGGCGAGTCTTGGCGCGGCCAGCGACGGCGAAGTGGCACACCTCCGTCTGCTTGAGCCCCTTCGCAAGTAGCGGGCCCGTCACGGGCGTCGACGGCGAAGCGGCGCTCGGTCAGCACAGACTGGGGCTGCCCCCGAAGCGCAGTGGATGCTCGACGCCTTCCCACTCCGTCGTCGCACGCCCGTTGCCGCTCGCATCCTGAACTCGGTTGCCGCAGTTGCTGAGGAAGCTGCCCCTGTCGCCTGGCGCCCTACTTCCCAACTGTCGATTTGACTGTTGAAAAAATCGAAAGCCAGCTGTTGCTCGTCGGGTCCCGCCTGGTGACGCACCGCTCGTAATCCTGCGCTGATCGCGCGCGCCAACGTCTTCGGATCGTCCAGGGCGCGCGTCGCAGTGATTCAGTGAAGATAGAGGACTGCGGACCTGGTGAGCCGGCACGCCAGCTCGGCAATTTGGACGAGGGCGTCGGCCGAGTTGGGCGCGCCTTTCCGCGCCCAGCGTAAGCGCCAGCATGCTCGCCGCACCCGTTGTAGGGCGAATGTTGCGTCAGCGACGCATCGCCCCCATGCCCGCGCAGCTTCCTGCTGGAAGGCTTTCTCCGCTGAGGGCTGCTGGAAAGCATGATTGTGGATGCCGGAATCCCAAGGATGCAAGACGATCTTGCGCAGCCCCTGCTGGAAATCCTCGCCGCGCAATGCGCTGGAGATCAGGGTCGGGGCAATAATTTGCGCCGCATGCTTGGAGTTGGAGATAGCCACGTATGTTTGCTGCATCTTGACGGGCAGGTTGACGGGCAGGTGGCCCTCGTCTTCCTGGGGAATGTCGACGTTGCCTACGGTCGCCACGTCCTTATACGGTGTCCATGTTGCACGTTGCTGAGACGACATGGCCAGTGCGATCCTTCCTGTTGCCCTTCTTCCAGGGATGTGCCGGTCCTCTGCACTGCGCAGCTGCGTTTCCAGTCGCGAGCTTGAAGGTGACTAAGTACTCTTGAAAAAGACCGTCGGCTTCATTCTCGAGCGTCCCGCCGTAGTCATCAATGGAGTCTGGGACAATGGCTCCTGCGTTTGCGTTGGCGTCGTTTTAACCTTCAAGGCCATGTCCTGAAATCCGCCCAACACGTATCAACCCTGTCGTCTCCCGAGTGGCCGCGCGTGGCATGCGCAACTACCTCCGTTCGTCGTAAGCCTTGTGCGGCGATTCGGGCGACGAGCGTCCTGGGGCTCTGGTGCAAGACCTTGATGCGGTTGGGTCGCATGTAGTTTTTGGTTCCGTCTCTCGGCGCAGGGAAAGCCGGCGTTGACAAGGAGGGAGCACCCAAGATTGTAGTTGCCGTGCTCGCTGGAAGTGGCACGGAATCCGCGCATGGCTGCCATCCCCCTCGGTAGCCTGGTCTCCTGCATGCCGATGAGGTGAACCGTCATGTCATGCAACTGTTGGTTGATGGCCTCGATCCTTGCGATATCGCGTTGCTGCTCCAGCCGTGTGCGGGTGGTTTCCTTGAAGCTCGTCACGTTGACGGTGATGGCTTTGAGGGCGATGATCGCCTTTTTGTTGGTTTGCTCGTTGCTTGGCTGGACGTGCTCTGGGAATATTTTTGCTGTGGGGTGGTGACTGTGGTCGGTCAAGTCGGGGTACGCTTTCTTTGTGCTCTCGTCCACTTGGTGGTTCCATTCCCGATGTTATTTAATGAATGGCGTCGAAAACATCTGAAAGCTGTGGTTTTGGGCTGCTGTCTTGCCTCGGGCTTTGCCGCTGGAGTTGGTGTGAGCCGCTGCAGGCGCGTTGCTGTAGGCATTCGCCTGCGAGTATATCCAAGCGTCTGCGCAGATTAGCGCCGCCAGTTCCGAGGTTGTCGAAATTGTTGTCCATGTCGGTCGAAATTGCGTGTGACGTGTTCGTTACAATTGTGCCGACGTGGGCGAAGCCGATTTCGTCCTCGATGGTAATGCCTACCGCCCAAGCGTTTATGGTCGAATCCGCCTGGTGCGTGCCGTCGGTGTAGAAGTGGATCTGGCTTATTATCCCATGGTTCCTTGGTGGTGCGAGCTCTAGGGAGATGATGGCATCATCCTCTTCTTCCTCCTCCTCTTCTCCTCATCCTCATCAGCATCATCAGCAGCATCATAATCAGCAGCATCATCATCATCATCACCACCATCATCGTCAGCATCATCATCATCATCATCATCATCATCATCATCATCATCATCATCATCATCAGCATCATCATCAGCATCATCATCACCACTCCCATCACCACCAACATCATCAGCATCAGCATCATCATCATCCTCATCATCATCATCATCATCATCATCATCATCATCATCATCATCATCATCATCTTCATCATCATCAGCATCATGAGCAGCAGCAGCAGCATCATCAGCATCATCAGCATAATCAGCAGCATCAGCATCAGCATCAGCATCAGCATCAGCATCAGCATCAGTACCAGCATCAGTATCGTCATCATCATCATCATCATCATCATCATCATCATCATCATCATCATCATCATCATCATCATCATCATCATCATCATCATCATCATCATCATCATCATCATCATCCGCCTCCTCCTCCTCCCTTCCCCCTCCCTCCCTCCCACCCTCCTTTCCCTCCCCCTCCTCCTCCGTCTCCACCCTTCACCCTCCCTCCCGCCTCTCCCTTCAGGAGGGATGCGCACTGCTGCGGTTGCGTGTCCCGATTGGCGCTCTGGGCAGCAAAACGCCCCCCCGCCTCTCCTCCCTCCGCCTCCCTCCCCTCCCTCCCCCTCCCTCCCCCTCCCTCCCCCTCCCTCCCCCTCCCTCCCTCGCCTCCCTCCCCTCCCCCCCCTCCCCCTCCCGCTCCCCTCCCCTCCCTCCCCCTCCCCTTCCTCCCTCCCTCCCCCACCCTCCCCCTCCCTCCCCTCCCTCCCTCCCTCCCTCCCCTCCCTCCCCCATCCCTTCCTCGGCGGCGTAGGCCGCGGCGCTCGCCGACGGTGCCCCAGGACCGCCTGCCACGGCAGCGGGCCGAGGGGGCAGCGGACGGGGTCCCCCCTCGCCCTCCGTCGGGGAAGGGGAGGACGGGAGGAGGGAGGCAGGGAGGGGGGAGGGGGAGGAGGAGCAAGACAGCAAGTGGGAGGAGTTGTCGGATTGCGAGGCCAGGGCACGAAGCCTGTCAGCGAAAGGCGGCCCACAGCTGGCAGAACATTAGCTTGGTCTATAGATGCTGCACGGGCAGCAAGGTAGGTGTTCCAAGGACTGGAACGCAACAGCACAGGTGTGACACGTCACGTGGACCATGCGAAACGAAAGCATCATGGCATGGAGGGGCGAGGCAGCAGCAGCAGGCACCGGCAACGGATGTCGGGAAGGAGGGGAGCTCGCGAAAAACAACTTGCTTAGCACCCACAGCGCTCACAGGCCCCAATGCTACCGTACCGGAGGAGGCGCGTCAGTAGTTCTGGCGCGGTGCTGCGAAAAAAAAACCGTCGGTCGAGGTTGAAGCTTTCACATTGCAGTGAACGTGAGGGAAGGAGCTGGCGAAAAACATATGGAAGGGAACCTCGGGCCAAACCCCAACTTTCTGGGGGTCCCCCTGGGTGACGGGGGTGGGGACGCTCGGGTGCCCCCGGGCTGAGGGAAGGGAGCGAGCGAGGAAGGGAGCGAGGGAGGGAGGAAGGAGAAGGAGGGGGAAGAGGAAGGGGGAGGGGAGGGGGAGGGGAAGGGGGGAAGGGAAGGGGAAGGGGAGGTGAACGGGGAGGGAGAGGGGGAGTGGGGTGTCCCTCCCTCTGCTATGCTGGAGCCCATGGGCCCCACAACCACTGGTGACCAGGCGTATGGCGCACTCTTCAGTACACGTGGACCTCAATGTAGGCCGCAGCATCGAGCAACCAAGGGCCCGGGCAGCGAAAAGTAGACTGGATCAGAGGTTTCGAGCGCGTTACGAGACAGCGACCAGCTCTCGACTATGTAAACGCTCTCGCGACGCTTGTGCAGCTCAGCCTCGCTCAGCTCCCAATCAGACTTGCCTAAGGTGGGGAAACGGCGTTACGAGTCCAGACGATCCCCTGTCTGGGAGCACCGTTTACAATATAAACAAGCCTTCACCGACTGGGGGCCCAGGATTAGCCGAGAGTTCTTCCATTCGAAATCGTGGCTGGCCGCATGCTCGGCTACCTTCACAAAACTGGGAGGGCGATCTGACTCGCAACATATCCTTACGATGCAAAGCTTAGGTGGGGGTGATAATTGTACCTGAGACACGATACACACTGCCACTTCCCTTCACAAAGTTAGAAGTATTCGTGGGCATTCGGGGCTGGGGCAGTCCGACAGAAATGGGGCCTTCGGAGGTTGGCCCACTCCTGCTTCGGGGTAGGCCCAAAACATAGAACGGAGGCAGCACTTATGAGGAAAACTTCAACCGTGGCATACCTCTCCTTCAGGTCAGCATACAGAATGCCGCTACATTCGTGCAATCGAAACTAACGCTTGGCAGCCCAGCCTGATCATTGAGCGACGCGGTCCGCTCAGCACCAAGCGCCAAGCGCAAGCAGGTGTTCACAGACACGCACATGGGATTTCTGCCTCGCCTTGCCGCAAGAAGACCCGCCAGAAACCCGCAAACGGAGAGATGCCCGCTTGGGCTTCACAATTCCGACCGAGCCCAGAACGGCCGATCAATCCCCGATGTAGGTGCAAGTCCCATCAGATACCTCAGCACCCGTAGAAAGGGCCTGGTTCTCAACACCGATCGCAGATTGTGGCAATTATCTCGGGATCGAGCCTACAATCTTACGCAGAACTCTTAGTAGCGAATCCCACTGGACCACCCCTCACCCACCCTTACTGAAGCTCGAGCCGGGAGGTGGTGGCCGAGCCGTAGCACGCAAACGGGACGTCTGAAACGAATGCGAAGCTCTGGACGGCCAGTCGCCGAACGGTCTTGGGACCCTGGAGACCCCTGTCGCCTGAGAAGTCCTCGGAAGGCGGTCCGAGCCCGAAAAACCGCACGGCGACACCGCGACTCCCCGCCGGCCCACCACGCAGCGTGGTCACCGTACTGCTCGGGCCCCCCAAAACAAGGCGACCACGACGACCACGACGGCCCCGGGGCCGGGGCCGGGGCCGGCTGAGACGACCACAACAACCACAACGCTTACGACGACGACCACGACGACCACGACGACCACCACCACGACCACCCACGACGACCACGACGACCACCACGAGGAGGTCGTGGTGGTGGTCGTGGTCGTCTCGGTCGTCCGAAACGACCGCGACGACCGAGACGACCACGACGACCAACGACGACCACCATAACGACCACCACGAAGAGGCGGCCAGCCGGCCGGCCCTCGAGGGCGGGCCCGCCTTGCCCGGCCGCGGCGCGGCACCTCGCGGCCCGCAGCGCCCGCAGCTGTTGGAGGCAGCCCTTGGGTTGCCGCGGGGGGGGGCGGCGCGGCGGCGGGGGCCTCCCCCCTCGGAGGGTTTTTCAACAGGACCCCGAGATAAGACGCCCACAGTCAGGGCGCCAAGGAGGAGGCTCAATCTTCTAGGGTGCGGCGCCAGCGCACCCTCGTCCAGGACGAGCCCCCCATCCTGTTGCGGCAGGACGAAGGGGGCCGCCTGTCTCAGCCCGTCAAGAGTTGCCCCCTGACGATTGCCACATGCGCAGCCTGGGATGAGGGGGAGAGGAGGGGCGGAGGGGAGTGAGAGAGGAGGGGGCTTCAAGGCTTCGAGGCTGATAACGATGTATCCATAACGCTTATCGCAGAATGCTCCCATCAAATTGCTGCACGCAATTCGGCCCATCAGTGGGCCGTCCAAAGAGGAGACCTGAAGGGGCTCTGTGGCGCAGGCAGCGGCTAGAAAAGCAACTGCAGGCTCACGTAACTACACGAAATAAACAAAGGATTTGGACAAGGGAACAGCCTAAGGGATCCAGTAACTGGGTAGATACGTTTGGGCACTGGCCGAAATGGGCACTTCACTGCACATAACTGAAGCGGTGGGAGGGGGAGGAGGCAGGGAGTGGGGGCGGGCCAGGGATGGAGGGGAGAAGACACTGAGCAGACCGCCAGGTCTGCGAGCGGGCCCCCACTCGGAGGGAGGGAAGAGGGAAAGGGAGGGGGCATGCTCCCCTCGAGGGCGAGAGGCAGATGCTGACAATGGCCAGGATGAACATGATGACGAGAAGGATTATGGTGGTGATGAAGATGGTGATGATGAGGATGGTGACGATGCTGATGAGAATGACGATGGGGATGACGATGATGATTGTCATGACGATGACCCTGAAAACTGGAATTAGGCGCGCGCGTCGCGCGCTGTCAAGTCCTGGCAAACCCCGACGCTAGATGAACATACAACTGCGTATGCGAATACATGCTTACACATGTAGTTGTGTGCATACGACGGCAAATACGACCCCGCAGAAGCATTGAGCACGGTGTGAAGAAACTGCCCGAACATGTAGCGACTAAGCACGGACTCGTTCCATGTGAAGCAACGCATGTGCACCTCAATGCAAGCAAAGCAACGCAGCTCACGCGTATTGCAAATCGAAGCGACATAGACCTAAGCAAATGCAAACAAACTAAACAAAACGCAATGCGAACACACAGCACACTGAAAAAGCAACACACACGTCAGGCCATGCAATAGTACACATCAGGAAGTAGATGTACTGGAATGCTAAGCAAACTGAAGCTACGCATAGTAATTCAAAACGAAGCTATGCAGAGCAACACAAAGCAATCCAAATCAACATAAACACGATTATATACATTGCGAAACGATGAGCAAGCAAAACACACATTGAAACGGAATGCAACGTGAACAACCCCGTGAACCTGCAGAGCTTGGGGAAACCCGACGAAAGAACAACGAAACATTCGACAAGGACGAAACTCAAGACCCCACGCACCACGCAAGGCCCTAAGACGCCAAGCCGAAGAGACCCCACGCACCACGCAAGGCCCCAAGACCCCATTGACCGCCAAAAGACCCCCAAGACGCCCGAAGAGGCTTCCAAAAGGCTTCCAAGAGGCATCCGAGCGGCATTCAACCATCCACCCAGCGTCATCATTCTCCTCATCCCTCCTTCGCTCGGTTCCTCGCCACCCCCTCATCTATCCATCTGGCCTCCTCTTCCGCCTCATCCTTTGCACGGATCGGCTGTCCCTCTCGTTGCTCCCCCACTTCCCTGATCTCTTCAACTCGCCTGGACATCGTTTCTGGATGGGCTGGTGGGGATACGCGAAGCGTCAAGAATTCCCACGCGGTCGAACAGAGGACGCCAACGACAACAAGAACGACGACAACGACGACGACGACGACGACGATGACGAAGAAGACGCCAGCGACGGCGAGGACGCGGACGACGACGACGACGCCGACGACGACGACAGACGAGGCAGACGATGACGCCAGAGCGCAGACCGCAGACGACAGACGACAAACGACGACCACCACCACGACGACGACAACGACGACGACGATGACGGGAAGAGGAGGATGAGCAGGAGGAATATCGAAGACCGGAGAAGGTAAGGAGCAGGAGGACCGCCGAGGAGCCCAAGGATGATCGAGGAGGGGCAACGATACTGTGCACCAGCACAGGTGGGAAAGCATCGACCTGGAATCGGCGCGCAAATCTCCACGATCCTGACTGGAGCGGGCTATCTGGCGATTGGGGGTCGATTCGTCTCCCCCCTGAACCTTACCCCCCCTAACGTTGCACCTGAATCGACGACGACGACGACGAGAAGAGGATGAGAAGCAGGAGGAAAATCGAGGGCCGAGGAGGATCAGGAGCAGGAGATGCGTCGCGGAGCCCGAAGACGATCGAAGAGATCAACGACGACGACGACGACGACGAACGCAAAGCGTGGCCCCGACGGCCGAAGGTGCGGCCGCCGTCGTCAGGGCGGGCGCGTCTCCTGCAGCGCGAGCTCCAGGCCGAGCCGCAGATCGTCGCCGCCAGCGCCGCCCGTCTCGAGCAGCTGCCCTGGGATTGGCCGACGGTCGACTCAACGACGACGACGACGACGACGACGACGACGCAGACGACGACGCGGACGACGACAACGCGGACGACGACGAAGCCGCCACCGACGGCGGCGGCGGCGACGGCGGCGGCAACGACGACGGCAACGACGACGACGACGACGACGACGACGACGACGACGACGACGGCGACGACCACGGTGACGACGGCGACGACGACGACGACGACAACGAGCGGCAGCAGCGGGGGCGACAGACGAGGAAGTTCTCGTCGCCGCGGCTGGACGCAGCTCGAGCAACTGGCTGGGATGGAAGCCAGGGTCAGGGGGCCGAAGCTGAGCTGCGAAGCCTCCTGCCCCTTGCGCGGCCTGGCGCTCTCCCGACGATGGAGGAGGAGGAGGAGGAGGAGGAGGAGGAGGCGGCGGAGGAGGAGGAGGAGGAGGAGGCAGGAGGAGGAGGAGGAGGAGGAGGAGGAGGAGGTGGAGGAGGGAGGAAGGAGAAGGAGGAGGAGGAGGAGGAGGAAGGGTGTCCTGTACTCCTCAGCCCTCCTGTCGTCGTGGTCTGGCTCGGGAGGCTGTATGGGCTCCGCCGCGTCGTGGTGTGAAGTCCCCCCCACCGTGTCCACTGGCCCGTCGAGGCGAGGAAGAATGCCAGGGCTGTCCCCCCCTTGCCAGTCTCGGTCGCGCGCATCGCCCCCCAGCCCTTCTCTTCATGAGTAACAACTGGTCTGTGCTCCCGAGGCCACGATCCCTTGGAACAAAAATTGATCCGCGCTTCTGAGGCCACGATCTCTCGCAACAAAATTAAGAGATCCGCACCTCCAAGGCCATACCCCTTGTACCCAAAAACAACGGATCCGTGCCCCCGAGGCCAAGACCGCTCGTGCAAAAACCATGGATCTGCGCTCCCGAGGCCAAGACAGCTTGGACAAAAACAATGGATCCGCGCTCCCAGTGCGGCCGAGGCAGGCAGCCTAGCTGCCAAGATGACCTAAGATGCCTCCAAGACGGCCCAACATGACCAGAAGATCGCCCAAGATCGACTCAATACAGTCCAAGAGGCCCCCAAGAAAGACCACGAGAGCCAGGAGAGGACCCCCAGTAAGACCCGGAGAAGCCATAACCATCGACTATGATGTGTTGAACAGTTGTCGCGTCTTCACCTTCTCGGATCTCTTCCAGCTCCGTTCGGCCCTCGAGGCCTCCAAAAGCTGCCAAAGAAAACCTCAAAATGGTGAAATTCGCCAGCCCAACAGGCTCAAGGCGTGCTAAAATCTCCGGCAACAGGTTTAGCATGTTTCTAGTTCGCGCGCGCGCGTGGCGGCCCCTGGGGGTCCCTGGTCGACTAGTACCAGGAGACACTCCCGGGACACTCCTGGGACGCTCCGGCCAAGGATGCCAGCACTCCCGGGGCTGCACAAAGACGGGCCAAAGGGCCCCAAGAGGCCCCCAAAACGGTCCAAGAGAGGTCCCAGACGCCCGAAGATCGCCCCAAGACGTCCAACATGGCCTCTAGACGGCCCAAGAGGCCTCCAAGACGCCCCCAGAGGCCTCCAAGAGCACGCCCAAGAGGCCCCCAACAGACAAAAATTGCCTTTCCTGAGGTTCTTGAAGGATTTTGGCGTTCTCGCCTTTTTCGGCCTCCTGGCACTCCAAAATGGCCCAGGAAGCCCCTGGATCGGACCAATACAGCCCAAGAGGCCGCCAAGAGGGCCCCAAGACGGCCTCAGAGGGCTCAAGACGGCTCAAGATGCCTCCAAAAATTGCCCAAGAGGCTCTCAAGACGGCTGCAAGAGGGAGCCCAGACGGAGGACACTAACGGACATTTCGAGCCCTCGACCCCAACAAGCCCCCAGGAGGCCACAAGGGGCCGCCAAGAAGCCCCTACGAGGCCCCAAGAGGCCCCAAGAGGCCCCAAGGAAGCCCCAAGAGGCCCCCAAGAGGCTCCCAAGAGGCGCCCAAGACGCTCCCAAGAGGCTCCAAAACTGCCCTCCAGAAACCCAAGAGAACGCTCCGAAGAGACCCCAAAAAGTATCCCTGAGGACTCTGACCCACAACCCAGGCATGGAACAGTAGAGGCCAGAACGCCAACGACAAGCTCCAAAGCAACTACTTCACCTCCGTGCCTGCTGTCGCAACACCTCCAGAAAAAAATATCCCGGCAAAGCAACCTAACAGCGATGTGTAGAAGCATATCTGAAAGCATTCCCCTTAAGATTCAGATGAAAATCCAGTTGTTGAATTCTGCTGTTCTCGCAGTCGTAGTCGTATTCGCGATGACAGTCGCAGCGGCAACGGCAGTCGCCGCAGTCACAGCCTCAGCCTCAGCCTGCCTCCTCCTCCTCCTCCTCTTTCTCCTGCTCCTCCTCCTCCTCCTCCTCCTCCTCCTCCTCCTCCTCCTCCTCTCGTCCTCGTTCTCGTCCTCCTCGTCTTGCTCGTCCTCCTCCTCCTGGTGCTCTCTCCTCCTCCTCCTCCTCCTCCTCCTCCTGGTGGTCCTCGTTCTCCTCCTCCTGGTGCTCTCCCCCCCCCTCCTCCTCCTCGTCCTCCTCCTCCTCCTCCTCCTCGTCCTCCTCCTCCTCTTCCTCCTCCTCCTCCTCCTCCTCCTCCTGGTAGTCCTCCCCCTCCCCTCCTCCTCCTCCTCCTCCTCCTCTTCCTGGTCGTCCTCGTTCTCGTCCTCCTCGTCTTGCTCGTCCTCCTCCTCCTGGTGTTCTCTCCTCCTCCTCCTCCTCCTCCTCCTCCTCCTCCTCCTGGTGGTCCTCGTTCTCCTCCTCCTGGTACTCTCCCCCCCCCTCCTCCTCCTCCTCCTCGTCCTCGTCCTCCTCCTCCTCCTCCTCCTCTTCCTCCTCCTCCTCCTCCTCCTCCTCCTCCTCCTCCTCCTCCTGGTACTCCTCCCCCTCCCCTCCTCCTCCTCCTCCTCCTCTTCCTGGTCGTCCTCCTCCTCCTGGTCGTCCTCCTCCTCCTGCTCGTCCTCCTCCTCCTCCTGCTCGTCCTTCTTCTCCTGCTCCTCCTGCTCCTCGTCCTGCTCCTGCTCGTCCTCGTCCTCCTGGTCTTGCTCGTCCTCCTCCTCGTCGTGCTCTTGCCCCTGCTGAAAATGTGGCCCAGGAATGGGAGTTCTGGGAAGTCGAAGAGCACGAAGTTGCCTACAGTTGGCTACGGGCATTCAAAATGTGGCCCGGGAATGGAGTTCTGGGAACTCGAAGAGCACGAAGTGGCCTACAGTTGGCTCCGGGCATTCAAAATGTGGCCCGGGAATGGAGTTCTGGGAACTCGAAGACCAGGAAGTGGCCTACAGTTGGCTCCGGGCATCCAAAATGTGGCCCAGGAATGGCGTTCTGGGAACTCGAAGAGCACGAAGTGTGTGACTGTTGCATCCGGTTATCTAAATGTGGCCCGGGAATGGCGTTCTGGGAACTCGAAGAGCAGAAGTGTGTGACTGTTGCATCCGGTTATTCTAAAGGTGGCCCGGGAATGGCGTTCTGGGATCTCGAAGAGCACGAAGTGTGTGACTGTTGCATCCGGTTATTCAGAATGAGCCTGGGAATGGAGTTCTGGGAACTCGAAGAGCACGAAGTGTGTGACTGTTGGTGAAAAACGAGCGGGGCACCCTGCCGCCCAGCAACTCCCAACACCTGCCCGGACCCCCCTGTGGAGTGATCTGTGACCTCTTTTGACACCACTAGAAACCTATCAGTCTTCGCTGTTAGGTAAAAAAAAAAAAAAAAAAAAAAAAAATCCTGGCAAAGCAACCTAACATCGATGTGTAGGAGCACATCTGGAAGCATTCCCCTTAAGATTCGGATGAGAATCCAGTTGTAGAATTCTGCTGTTCTCGCAGTCGTAGTCGCATTCGCGATGACAGTCGCAGTGGCAACGGCAGTCGCAGTCACAGCCTCAGCCTCAGCCTGCCTCAGCCTCAGCCTCATCAGCCTGCCTGCCTCAGCCTCAGCCTCAGCCTGCTTCAGCCTCAGCCTCAGTCTGCCTTCAGCCTCGGCCTCAGCCTCAGCCTGCCTCAGCCTCAGCCTGCATCAGCCTCAGCCTCAGCCTCAGCCTGCCTCAGCATCAGCCTGCCTCAGCCTGCCTCAGCCTCAGCCTCAGCCTGCCTCAGCCTCAGCCTCAGCCTGCTCAGCCTCAGCCTCAGTCTGCCTTCAGCCTCGGCCTCAGCCTCAGCCTCAGCCTCAGCCTCAGCCTGCATCAGCCTCAGCCTCAGCCTCAGCCTGCCTCAGCATCAGCCTGCCTCAGCCTCAGCCTCAGCCTCCCTCAGCCTCAGCCTCAGCCTGCTTCAGCCTCAGCCTCAGTCTGCCTGCAGCCTCGGCCTCGCCTCAGCCTGCCTCGCCTCAGCCTGCCTCAAGCATCGGACCTCATCCCTGCCTCCAGCCTCACCTCGAGCCTGCCTCAGCTCGCCTCAAGCATGCTTCAGCTCGCCTCGAAGTCTGCCTTCAGCATCGGCCTCAGCCCCGCCTGCCTCAGCCTCGGCCTCAGCCTGCCTCAGCATCAGCCTCCTCAGCCTCAGCCTCAGCCTCAGCCTCAGCCTCCCTGCTTCAGCCTCAGCCTCAGTCTGCCTTCAGCCTCGGCCTCAGCCTCAGCCTGCATCAGCCTCAGCCTCAGCCTCAGCCTGCCTCAGCCTCAGCCTGCCTCAGCCTCAGCCTCAGCCTGCCTCAGCCTCAGCCTCAGCCTGCTTCAGCATCAGCCTGCCTCAGCCTCAGCCTCAGCCTGCCTCAGCCTCAGCCTCAGCCTGCTTCAGCCTCAGCCTCAGTCTGCCTTCAGCCTCGGCCTCAGCCTCAGCCTGCCTCAGCCTCATCCTGCATCAGCCTCAGCCTCAGCCTCAGCCTGCCTCAGCCTCAGCCTGCCTCAGCATCAGCCTGCCTCAGCCTCAGCCTCAGCCTGCCTCAGCCTCAGCCTCAGCCTCAGCCTCAGCCTCAGCCTCAGCCTGCTTCAGCCAAAGCCTCAGTCTGCCTTCAGCCTTGGCCTTGGCCTCAGCCTGCCTCAGCCTCAGCCTGCATCAGCCTCCGCCTCAGCCTCAGCCTGCCTCAGCATCAGCCTGCCTCAGCCTCAGCCTGCCTCTGCCTCAGCCTCAGCCTGCTTCAGCCTCAGCCTCAGTCTGCCTTCAGCCTCGGCCTCAGCCTCAGCCTGCCTCAGCCTCAGCCTGCTTCAGCTTCAGCCTCAGCCTCAGCCTGCCTCAGCATCAGCCTGCTTCAGCCTCAGCCTCAGCCTGCCTCAGCCTCAGCCTCAGTTTGCTTCAGCCTCAGCCTCAGTCTGCCTTCAGCCTCGGCCTCAGCCTCAGCCTGCCTCAGCCTCAGCCTGCCTCAGCCTCAGCCTCAGCCTGCCTCAGCATTCAAATGTGGCCCGGGAATGGAATTCTGGGAACTCGAAGAACACGAAGTGGCCTACAGTTGGCTCCGGGCATTCAAAATCATGCCCAGGAATGGAATTCTGGGAACTCGAAGATCACGAAGTGGCCTACAGTTGGCTCCGGGCATCCAAAATGTGGCCCGGGAATGGAGTTCTGGGAAATCGAAGAACACGAAGTGGCCTACAGTTGGCTCCGGGCATCCAAAATGTGGCCCGGGAATGGAGTTCTGGGAAGTCGAAGACACGAAGTGGCCTACAGTTGGCTCCGGGCATCCAAAATGTGGCCCGGGAATGGAGTTCTGGGAAGTCGAAGAGCACGAAGTGGCGTACAGTAGGCTCCGGGCATTCAGAATGTGGCCCGGGAATGGAGTTCTGGGAAATCGAAAAGCACGAAGTGTGTGACTGTATGCGAAAAACGATCCCCCCCGGCAAACCCCAACGGCCCCCCAACGGCCCCCAACGGCGCCCCAACGGCTGCCCGGACCCCCTGTGGAGTAATGTTGGAGTAATGTGCTGCTCTCTTTTTAGACTATTAGAAACCTATCAGTCTTCGATGTTAGGTAAAAACACCGCCAAACAGCGCCACATGGGCCAAGAACGCACAGGCAAACGCCAGCGATGGCACAATACGGGCCGGCGGGATGAGCGCAGCGATCAAATAATCTTCCAAGACGGCCGCAAGACAGCGCAGATGGGCCCCTAGACGGCCCAGGACGGCCGAAAGAGAGCCCCAA